CTTTAATCCAGACAAGGAGAGCCTCTTTGTCCCGTCTGCCATCCACTTTGAGATCGTCTACCTGCGCCCCGACAGCCCTGCTGTCGTGCCCTGCCGTGTGACCGACCCCCGGGCCATGGCTTCGCTGCACAGAGAGGTCCCTCCTGTGGAGATCACAGCAAACGATACTCGTCTGACCTATGACCCCACCAGGGGGTTCATCCTTCAAAATCCCAGTGCAGATCTTCAGGGCGTCTTCTACTGCAAGGCTGTATCCAAGGACAACCCTCAAATCTCCAACAAATATCAGCTGTTGTATGTGGAAGGTGAGGATTCAGCGCTTTAAAGGCATTAAAAGTATTCGCATCCTTGTTTTTTTCAGCCTTTTGTTCCTGTTAAACCTCCGTATTGCAGCGTAAGAATTTTGCACTATTAACAAACTTTTTATTTTCATTCAATAGGCGGTGAGCATTAGATGGATTTGTCCTCGTTATGCTCTTTAAATACCACAAATTATAAGTGAAGAAGGGTATTAACATGATTCCATGTCGCTGAACATTTTTGCTTCACAAGAGGGAACCTATTTGAGGTGTGGGTTTTAAAAGTGTCTAATCTAAATCTCCTGCTGACAGTTCCCAGTGGGCCACCATTTGTGAACCTTGGAGCCTCTCCTGAGACGGTGAGAGGAGGAGACAATGTTAACCTGACCTGCACTGTACTGGGAGAACCTGAGGTGGACGTGAGCTTCAGCTGGTCTTATCCTGGACAGGTAAGGGGAAAAAGTCAAAACAGCATAATTCAGAACGAGCAGGTATTTAAAGAATGAATACTGCCTATAAAATCTGTTAGTAGGTTTCTAGTCAGGGAAAGAAATTTTAGACAACCTTTCCTCTGAATTGCATTCACTGTTTCACTCCAACTGGATGGTTTAGTCTTTCAAAGGCCTGTGACCTGCAGTTTGCATGAAACCTGCTTTAATTGAACCCGAAACATTTCCACAAATCAAAGATTTGTAGAAATGTCTATAGAGAGGTTTGCTTCCTATATTGTCTGCAGGATGAGTTGACTTTAACTGTTTTCAACAATACTTACTCATAAAATCATCAGGGCACGATATGCATCACAGCACAACAAACCTTTAAAGTTTAACCTGTTGTGTTCATGCCAAGTGGTTTTTACAAAGATGATAATCAATATTCATAGGAAACAGTTGTAGGAGTTGGAACATTACCAATGATCTATCTGTAATTTCTGCTAGTGTCATTTGAAATGAGAAAAACTAACATATTCTATATTCAGCACTGGTGGCGCCAGCTTTGTTCTATCCAGGGACATGCACAGAGACTTTTCTTAAAAACCTAATATGAAAAAATACTTCAGGTTTTGCTTTGGACAACTCCCCAATACCTCAGAGCCTGTCAGTCGTGATACTGCAGTCCCTCCCAGCTGTGGTCATCAGAGCAACTGACTCATCCGGACTTAAGAAAACTGAAAGAAAGAGACAGATAAACCTAATTTAACTCTTCTTGTAGTGCCAAGTTGGTCAAGTTGAAACTGCCTTCAAACACTAGAATCAGAGGAAAAAAACATTAATTTGTACTTCTGAACACATTCAGGGACGAGTATTTTTGATCCACATAGGGAGAATAATGATGGCAAACACCATTTAAACCTGTTTTCATCCCTAAATAATCCTCCCAACAATAAAAATGGTTTAAACCTTAATAAAACACAATAATATTCAAAGCCTCAAGGTTAAGACAGTGGAAGCCTTTATAGACTGGGGGTTAGCTTCCTTTTGCTGCGGAGAAGACATAAAGTTCCTATAACGTTTCAACAGAACTTAGAATGGAAGTCCACTTTGCTTTAATAGCAGCTTTCAGCTCATCTCTATTGTTGGTTCTGGGTATAAACCAAGTCCTAAAAGAGTATAAAGTCAGCGTCTCCATAAAGCTTGGCAGCAGAATGGCATGAAGTATCTACAGTAACATTTTCCAGGCCGCATCGACCGACTCCAGTAGTTGACAGGTCACTCCAATTCATTACTAACTGAAAACTTCCCACTGGAGTTAATCAACGTGGATTCTGTGCCTCCAGACTGGGAACCCTGCTCACCCTTTAAAATGGAAACTTTGCTTTGATCTGAAGAAATGACTTTGGGTCAGTAAGAAAAACTCCAATTCTTTTCCTCACTAGTGCAGGTAGGATGCTTGTGGTTCTGCATGTAAAAGCTTCTGATGAACTGACTCCAAGCTCAGTCCATCTTGTGTAAAGCTCTCCCAAATTATTAAATGGATTGTGCACGTTTCCTACATTTATTTTCCTCCACTTAACTTTCTATGAACCTGCAGTTCTCCAAACAACTTTCTGAAGCAAGGATATCTGGAGTCTTGTGGACACAGTGCAGTCTTGACACCTATAGACAAAGACTCAGGAAATTTTTGCAGAGTTTATTAGCCAACTACTGTCTGATTCTAATGATCTGAGAAACTGAATTGAGGGATTTCATTATCTATAATACATTAAAATTTGTTCGTTTTTACAAACTGAAACCACCATTGAAAATACGACAAACTTTATTTCGTTTCACAAGATATTTCAGAAAAAAAGGAGAGCGGGTCTTTTTTATTATTATTTTACAATTTTCTACCAAATCAAATATGAAAATGGATGAATAATGAGCATATAAATTAATTTTTTCCAGCTTTCTTTTGGGTTCTGAAGTAACAATAGCTTTATAAAACAGAAGCGGTAAGTAAAAGGAGAGGAGAATCAGAAGAGCTCCAGTAAAAAAAAAAACATTCAGTACCAATTAGGAAAGTTTTGCAGATGTTTTTTTTCTGAGAAATCACACCAATGATTATTACAACAGCAAACACCTAATAAATAAGTAGCCTAACATATAATGTCACAGCCAACTTTAACTGTTTACTAACATGAAAAATATTAGGATTATATTTTGTAAAATTAATACAATAATGTATAAAATTACTGCTCCATTTATCCAATATGGGAATAATTTGGAATGCTGAACCATAAAAACTTAAAGCAAAAAGGCTCCACAGGTTATGAACGGTGCTCTGGCTGCCCTGCAAAAACAAAAAAATGTGTCTGATTTGGTGATGGCCTGTGACGACGCTATATGATGATAAAGCAAACAAACAAATCATTCAGCTGCGCTGTAAACAGATGTGTCTTCAGCTGTGTGCATGTTGAAAGCTAGGGCCGTCATAAACCACAGGGGTGGTTAGGAACTATTATATTATACTAGTTATATTTACCCAGATACATTTACTGTAGTTTTTTATTTTTTAAAGGAAAAAAAAGTAGCTTTTCCATATTGTTTTTTTACGTTTCCTTTGATAAATATAACTAATTATTGCTGTTCTTTCAGGATACTAAACCTATAGAGTGAATTGCTTGAACTTGTTTTAAATACAAATTCAGAGACATACGTCCACAGTTTATGCTCAAGTTAGTGTTTTTCTACTAAAGCTTCATTGGTTTAATGTAATTTTCATTTGGAGATTGAGTTATTTTATTTTATTTATATTATTTTATGTACTTTTTATATTTTATTATTTAAAAAAGAAAAAACAAATGTTAGAACTGTAAATATACAGTTATGTTTATATTACTGTTTTTATGTATTTTTTTACTGTTTTAAAGGCTGCACTTTAAAAAAATGAAATTGTCTAGAGAGCTGTACTTAACGAAATTTCTTTTCGTTTATACTTGTGTATACAAAGTGACAAAATAAATCTGTCTGAGTCAAAATAAAGTCAACATTATACTGAAATATTGTTACTGGAAGTAGCCTATATAAAGTACTGAAAAGTGCAACAGAAATGCACTATCCTAACCCTCCTTACGTCTTGCTGCGTCCTGAAGCAGCGACAGCTCTAACAGCATTTCATCCTCTTTCATAATAAAGTGTTTGTGCTTCTACTGCAGGGTCAGCGTCCCGTTAACATCCATACACTGTGGAGGCTGGTTAACAGAGGGATGGGCCACACCACGAGGATCTCCCAGAGCACCTTGGCAGTGGAGGATGTAGAAACCATCGACTATGGCAACTACATCTGTAGAGCTAAGAACAAGCATGGGGAGACGAGCGTAGCAACAAAAATCCTGGCTTCATAATCCCACCAAGGAGCAAAGGATTCAGATTTATTAGGATGGATTTTTTTTCCATAAGTAAAGCTTTTAACAAAGAACCATCTGCAGGTCCAGATAAAATGAGTCTGCTCACAAAATGATATTCAACAAATAAAATTTTTTTTAATTGCGCTGCTGATGTTTTCATGTCATTTAAATAACAATTTGTTAAGTGGTTTGGAAACCCTTAATGTACTTTGATGACATCAACCTGCCTATACTTATTAATGCTGCAGAGAACAGAGTTTAAAGTCAGCAGAGTCATTGCGGAGGGAGTCATGAAGAAACAGCCTGAACAAACTCTGAGTCATGCTTTCAGACCTCCCCTTTTTCCACAAAGCAGGAGAGAATAAAAAACAAAAACGGTCACCTAAACTGAAGTGCCAAGAGCAGCAAAGGCAGCCAATTAAAAACCTCACAGGAAAAAAAAAAAAAGTTGTTTCACATACAGATGTTAAGATGAGGTAAACCATTAAAGGATAATTTTTTGGTGAAAAAGAACAGTAAAGATCCAGGGAAACCTCCTTCTTCCAAATTAAACTGAAAATGTATGCAAAAAAACAAATAAAAACTCAAAACAAAACAGCAGTCTGACTTTTTTTGCACTGCTAGACATTGGAATCTGGTTTAAAGTTGGATTTTTTGCTAATGTGCTCCTTATGTGGAATGTGTTCTGCAGTGACCGAGCCCAGTTTGGACTGGTGCAATGACTCCTGCACTGCAAAAACAATGATTACAGATTTGAGATGAGTGCTGGATTACATCCAATAACGGATTAAAGAGCTCACATTCCTGCTGTATGCCCTCTACTAGATTAAATGCTGTCTCCTTAGCATTTAATCTGTAGTCAATAATTTCCCTTCTCCACGTTTAATACAAGTCTTTATTAATTGCATATTTCGAACAGGCTCAGCATATCTGGTATACATTTCCACACAAAATATTCCTACCTTTCAAAAATCGGATGTCCCTGTTATATACAAGCAAACCTGAAAACAGAATCGTACATTTAAAGCTGTGTGAGGAATATTCCTTCCTCACAAACAAGACTCAAACACAAGAAGCAAGACTTGGAATGATATCCTGCTTAAAGAAAACCACAGACCACAGGAGATCTCTAAGCTGACTGGGAATAATAGGAACACACACCATCCACACTAAAACAACCTTAAGGAACTGGGTGTAGAAGGCCAGTGTATGAAAGTAAAACTGACTGTTAGCATTGTGAGAAAAGGTGCAAAAGTCCAAACAAAACAATTCCAGCTTCTTAGATATTCTGAATAAATATATACAACCCAAACTATCCTGTAGTCAAATTCTGGCTGTGGAGTCCTGAATCACAGAAAGTCAGCCATCTTTAACAGGGAAAGGCTAACGGTGCATGCATGTACCGTTTGTTAGCGTGTGCTGAGCTTCGGGAAAACAAGCCTCTGATAGCAAACAACAAAAATAGTATTTCAGTACATAAAAGTCCTGAGATTCTTTTTTTCCCTCAATCTTTATCAATCAGATCAGGTGTCAAAGGCAAAGAACAAGGTGGCTTTAAGTGCTTCTGTGCAACATTTTCTTTTTTTATACAGTATTTTGCATGTTTGTACAGGAGGTGATTGAGTTGATCCGGGTCTCGGTCCGTTCCATCGACGGGATCCAATCACAGCTTTTGTTCCAGAGGAATAACCAAACACAGCGGTCTGCTTCCTGGAAGCAGGGTCCCACTGTTATCTGGGGGAGACGGGGGAGCTGGAGAAGAAGCCAGAGCTGCGAGGGGACTGCAGCTTGAAGGGGTGGGAGGGTGAGGTAGGGCTGGGGGACAGCTTGCGGGGGCTACTCAAGTCTCCGTTATGGAGCTTCCAGAGCAGCTCCTCGTTCTCCATAGAAAGCCGCTTGTTGACCTTTGACTCCTTCTGAAGGGACTCCTGCAGCACGGCCTGCTCTGTGGACAGCTGTCTGTGGGGCGGCAGAAAAATATTTACTAAACATTTGAGGCATCAGCACGTCCCTGTTTTCCATGAATTATTTTGGTCCATCAAACTTTTAACAATCTAGTTTTAATGTAAAGAGAGAAATCCTTTCAATGACAAAAATCTACAAATATTTGATTAATCAGTGCTGGTTGGATACTCAACCCTTACCTTTCAATGATTTCTAATCTTTGAAAGCACCAACAGACAGTTTGGCTCATAACGATATATATATATTTAAATCTGCCAGAAGTATACATCTTTTTGTTTGTTTCCGATTTTAAAACCTACATCTTCCTAACGTCTACTGGTTCTCCGAAGATTCTACCTTCCTGATAAGTAGTGATGGTGAGATGAGGCCTCATGAGGCCTTGAACCATTTGGCCAAATTGTTTCAACAATCTCCACAGTTCATGAAGCCTCATGTGAACATGTCGCCTCCTACTGGTGGAAGGCAGAACTACAGTTAGTGATATAACTGATTTTTTGCAATATTAAATATTTTCTTGATTATTTTTTCCCCCAAATAAGTTCATTTGAAATTTTTAATGTTAGGTCTGTATAATAAACTCTTAAGTTTTTTTTTTTGTGTGTAAAATGTCTTAGAAGAGAACAACAATTTTAGGTACATAGTTTTCTGCCATTTTAGTGAAATAAGCTCAAGCAGATAGTGATAGTGTTTGTGGAAAAACTATTATGTTTAAATAAAAATGACCTTTTATTTTCTCCTCATTGCCCAATCTGCACAGTTTGGGGTTTTAATCGGGTTGGAAGTTTTGTGTTCAACCAGTCTTTTGGTTAAACCCACCAATCTATTTTTGTGTTTTTTAACCAATCTATATTTATACTAGGGCAACAAATGCAAATTAGTCACATTAGCCGAAACACTAGATATGTTTTATCAACACTTTTGAAAAACTGAGGGCGGGCTTTGAACCAACAACCCTTGGATTGGAAGTCCATCTTTTACAAAACCCATTATAAAATCTATTACATCTATGATCAGTGGCCTGCTCAAATAGGGTTGATCATACATCGTTTAATCTAACCAAACTAGTTTTAACCAACTAGATTGGTTGGAAAAAGCACCAATCTTTTCGTAGAATATATCCAAACTCTATCCATCTCTCATATAAACTCCCACATTTGACTGAATACTGAGGCTGTGTAAATGCCTGCCGAAGTTCCACTTCCCCAAGCGGTCACAGTCTGGCGGGCAGCGAGGCTTCAGACTACATCTATTTTGGCTCCTCCCCCAAATGTAGCAAGTCTCGATACACGCCTCACAGAAACGCCCCCAAAATTACTCGACACAAGCCTTGAAGCCTCGGCTCATCTCATAACTTCAGCACTGATAAGCACCAAGTCTCCATGATTGGAAGCCTTCTTTGCATCACCCTAATCTTTAGCTCCCTCTGTTGGACCTAATAGGGTCTCTGCCTGGGCCCCTCCAAAACCTCAAGATTGATCAATATCAATACTCTTGATTTAAATTAAAGGCTTAAAATCTAAAGCAGGTAAAAAGGATCAACAAACAAACAGCGAATGCAGTTTCAATTACCAGACCTGCTGAATAATAACATGTTTATGGTTGGAAACTCTAGAAAAATTAGAATGATCATGTTAAATCTTTATTGGAGGTTTATTTCTAGTTAAAACTTTCAGTTTATCTGGTACCTTGACAGAGCGGCGTGCCTTTCCATTCGAGCTTTCAGGTCCTCATTCTCCTGCTGGACCTTTATGAGGATCTCATTTAGCTTCACATTTCTCTCCTTCTGTTAGAGACAGATGAAGATATTTTAGTGGTCAGGCAGCTCTTTGTACTTTATATTTTCTTAATGTCATTTGGAAACCTCTCTGCATGCAATCCAGCTCTCACCAGTTTGCTGATCTCCATCATCATCTTCTCCTGCTGGTGGAGCTGTTCGTTTTTGATATCCAGCACTGCTTTGAGACTCTCCAGCTCCTGCTCTAAATACAGAGCGTGAGAGTCTTTCTGCAGGGAGAAGATGCAGCAACATGATTAAAGTCTACCAGGATGGGAACACTGCTGACATACAGCACATGTTCTAACTGAAAATAGAGTGAGAACAACCAGCAGAGGGCTCCACTGAGCTCTGACTACTAGTCATTTTGTCTGTTCTACTCCAAGGCTTTATGGGAGTTAATGGGCAGAGGTTTCAGTTATTACTTTCTGCAGCCATATAGCTGCAGGTCATAGTCTGTATAAAGGTATAAGACTTTAATTCTTCCAAGAAAACTTTTTATAAACTGAAGAACAATTAGTTCTTTATTGTGCATTGATAAATGATTGTGTTTCAAAGAACTCATTCTTTCATAATAAATATTGGTTTTATCTCTATTCAGTGATAGTATATCTTTAAGGAAGTCTTTTGCTTTATTGCCCCACCCCCCCCTCCAACCCACTCTGGATACCCGCAGGCAAACGGCACCAGAGTCATGAGGGGTTTCAACACTGAGTCCTTTCTGCATCGCAGACAAAAGGTACCTGAGTGTTTTCACCCAGCTCTCTCCTCCTGCTCTCCTCTGCAGCTAGCTTCTCTAACAGGACATTATTCTCTACTGTCAGCTCCTGAATCTGTGCCTGTGGATGCAGATAGTGAATAAAACCAGTGGACAAGCTGGAATACACAGACACAAACTCTAAGGTGCAAATAAACAGAAAAACTTACAGACAGAGAGGTTTTTGTATCTTTTAGAGCCTTCTCAATAGATTGGAGTTCCTGTGCGTGGACCTTCCTGAGTTCTGAGAGGTTTGCAAAGTTCAGAAAAATTATTATACATCAGGGAAGATAATGAGACAAACATTTACTTTATTTTATTAAAAATAGCATTTCATTAGTCAAAAAAGGGGATCCATTGCTCTGTCCTCACCTTCCATAGAGGTTTCATACTGCTGCCTGACTGACTGCAGCTGCTCTGCATGGCAGCTCTCTAGTTGCATCTTCATGGCTTCATGGTTGGCTTTCAGTTCCTCCATCTAAAAAAAAAAAGATATTTAAAAGTCACAAAAAATAAATATGATTTCTTTAAACCTCCAAAATAAAATTAACATTAAATATGTTCAAAATGTGTCACTTCTTGTTGCCTTTAAACTCAAAAGGGAAAATTAAAAGGTAAAATCTGGGTAGACCTGCTGCTGCATGAGGGTCTTGTATTTGTTTGCTTCCTCCTGATAGGTGAGCTGAACATGGTCCCATTCGGCCCTGTGAGCAGCCTGTAGCCGCTGCTCCAGCTCAGCAAGCTCCTTTCTGTGCTCTTCCTGCAGTTTCTGTGTTGCATGGTGCAGAGCAGCATGCAGCTCTTCCTTCTCCCTCTCCAGGCACTCAGACGAGTGGACAGAAGAAGCTGTCATAAAAACAAAAGGCAGAGTTTAGCATTTATCAAAAGAGTGAGGGGGTAGATTGCTGTAGTGAGTCACTAAACATTTCCAGGGGATCCTGATTTAGCCCACAGTAGCATCAAATGGTGTCCAAAAAGGAATGGAAAAATCTGACTTTACAGTGCGGAGGTTGCCCAGCAAACTACAGCTGACTTACTGAAAAGTAGAAAGAAATATTTATAACAAGTGATAAATCACTTATTATAGTGTTTTAATGGTGACTCAAAACCTATTCCAAGCTACAAATAGTTACATTTATAACATAATCTAACATTTATAACATAATCTAACATTTACAGTTACTGTTGCCACTGAGCTAGAGTTTGCTTTTGACTTTAGGTGGGAGACTGTTAAACAATTGAAGCTTCTGTGAACAAACGGCTGTCATATTTAAGAGATAAACTATCAGGGTGTTCCATGTTAAACTGAACTTGTCAGCCATTAAAAGGCTGGCATGTTTAGTGAAGGACTTAAGAATCAAACTAAAAATAGATGTGTTCAGTTCATGCTGTGTAGAAAGTTCCCTCGGCTCTACCCTTCTGGCTCCTGGTCAGTTTATACCACCCCTCTGAACCAACATTTAGCTCCTTTCTGATTCCCTTTGGCTCATGCTAACAAAACTTACAGCCATGTATGGAAATTATTAAATACATTTAGACTAGTTTACACTTAAAATATGACTTTTTTTTAAATCTTTAATCAGGCAGAATAATAACCTTTTACTGGTAAATATGATCTTAATAAACAATTTTCCTAATTTTCGTATTCATTATATTTGTATCTTAACTTTTACTGATGAATCTATCTTTTGTAATGCAACCTTAAATATACCTATGGTTAAAAATAAAGACATCCTGACCTTTATGTGTCATCATGAAACCAAATGTTTGTCAACCTGATTGCTCATACATGCCGAGATCTAATTAGTAATACACTCTACTATGTCACCAATTTACCCACCAAATATATGAAGTTTACTTTGAGTAATAATGCAAAAATTTTAAATGTACTTTGCTGCAGAGAGATACAGTCAAGGGTTAAAAATTACAGATCTGTTTTTTCTGATGATGATGAAATGCTAATATTGATGTTTTTAAATAAGGAAAGACTAAAAAGGCGATTAGCATTGAATTTACTGCTGTAACCATGTTGAACTCTGTTATTTTGAAAAAACAATCAGGAGGATGAAGATAGAAAACAGAACACATTACTGCAATTTGAAACAATACTGAAACATTTGTCGTTGTTTTTTTTGTTGTTTTTTATTGGAATTACAACCAGACTTTGGATGAGGCGGTAACAGCTAACTTTTTAACCCACAAAGAAAAAAACTTGTGACAGTTGAAGAAATGACCAAAATGAGAGGAAATTTTTTTGAACAAAAAAAACAGTCAAGTTAGCAGGAAGATGGGCTTTTCTAGCCTACTATTAGGCCAGGTTTTTATGCTTTCTATATCTAAAGCTGGGATTATAATACTGTAAACAGGCTGAGACTCATAATGGTCCAAAAAGACTGACGTTCCTGTGGGTCTCCAAGCTGGTCTGAACAGAAGATTGTGTTAAAGAGCAAATATAAACAGCACTCCGCATGTAAAAGTAGTCATGTGGGAGTTCTTAGGCGGCTGTGGGGGAGGATGGGGGTGCCTAAACGCCTCCACGCCTTAGGGGAGATGTATAAATACTGATGTGAAGACAGGAGTTGAAGCATGCATGTATGTGCAAGGCTACTCAGAGTGACGACCCCTAAACAGTACATAAAAGATCCATTGTTCCTCAGCACCCTGAAGGCCAGCAGTGGTGTGGCGTTCCACCAGTGGGAGCCACTCAGGGGGTGTGGACCAACACTACTATAATCAGCAATGTTCAATATATAAATATAAACTATACAGCTGGCAAAGCGGTTGGAATAACAGACATATCTTCAATAGGAAACAATAGATCTAATGACCAATGGAAAAATCAGCAGAAGCTATTTTAGGTTCAATCCAACTGGTCAATGACAACACTGTCTAATCATACGAATCAAAAGGAGCTGAACAGAGACTGGGGGCATACACTGAAGCAATGACCACTGAAGAACGCCGTTATATTGCAACGTACCCAGTTCTCCTTTGAGGTTGGCCAGTTCCTGAGACAGCTGTCTGCTCTGCCTGGTGGCTTCATCACGCTGCAGAGAAAAACATACAAACGTCAGAGATACAGACAGAGAAAGAAGCAAAGACTTTACTGACCATAAGCACTGGAATCTAGTAAATCCCAGTTTTCTGGACGGCTTTCTGGAAAACAGCTAACTAATAGATACCGACACAGATGCTGCTAAACAGAGCCTGATACTGGGAGGAGAAGTAAAAACCCTTCGGCACTCAGCTCCTGTTTCCAGTTTCAAACACTTCTCGTGTCACCCTAACTTCCTTAGTCTTCATGAGTCAGTTTTGCAGCTGCAGGTTGTGCTGCAGTGCTACAGCTACCCTCAAACAGACGCAGACCGACCAGTTTACCATCCTCCCTCTTATAGTAATGAGTTACATCTGCAACCTGACGCTCCACATGTCACATTGTGAGTGACACTTCATTAAATCATGCAAATGCACATGAAAAAGCCAACAGTACCAGATAAACATCAGAGAGAAACACGAGACAGGATGGCAAGCTATATGCTAATATAAACTCATCACTTTGAACTGCCTCTCTGTCTCACAGCGGAGGAAAACAAAGTGGAAGCTGGTTACCCTCTCTGCAGCGCAGCGAGCACTAATACAAGCTTTGCTGCCAGCACAGCCCATTATTCAGCCTCAGCCTGAGGCTCGGGTGCTGGAGTCCCCTCTGGTAGCTATGGAGACCTGGTAATCCAGGACGGACAGTGGTCCAGGTGGATGTACCACCTCCACATGGACGCCCTTCTCAGACTGAGCTCACTACATCTAAAGGCACGACTGAAAAAGCTGCTCCACTGGCTGCAGAGGGCTTTACCGTACTGCATCGAAAAAGGAAACAGGGGCAGTTCGCTTTAGGACCACCCCCACAGCTCTAAAGGTAGTCAGAGGGGAGTAAACAGATGAACTGCACAGCGCTGGCTGACATCAGGCTGAAGGGAGAGGACCACTTCAGTGGAGTGACCCACCCAGGTTAATCACAGCCATGTCCTCCTTGTTACCATCCCCCAACTCCAGGCTGCATTGACACAGACTCTCCATTAGGAGATGATTTAATGCCATGACAGATCAATTTACCATCTTCTCCATGAACAAGACTTCTTACAGTCAATGGCCAATCAATATGAAGTACAAGAAAAAAGATTACTACACTCACAAGCTATTGATAACTATTGAAAGGTTACACAAAAACTGTCATAGTTGGCATTTATTTTTCGCTGTTTAACTTTTCCAGGATTTGTGTAGCACATTTAAATGAATCACACCAATGATCTGGTGGATCCAACAATGGAGTGAAAACAGTTCAAATTTAGGGGGTCATTATACCTTCCTTTTCATTACAGCTTCATGTTGCTATAAATGTCACATGAGAGCATAAAGAAGATATTCTTGGTTTAGAGTAGTGTCACAATGTGGGCCGAGATAAGAGGCAAACGGCTGCATGTCGTGTTCCAGTAACATGGATTTATTGGAAAACAGCAACAGATGCATGACGTAGAAAGAAAAATTGTTATTCAATATTCCTGTTATTCTGATTGTATGAGCGTGGGGGGGGGGGAAGTCCCACCCTCATGGAAGTGTTTATAAAGCTTATAAAAGTGTTTCACAAACAATCTAAAAACTAAGGCATACATGCATTAGTCCCTTTCAGTCAACAGTTTGTAGAGCAACCTTCAGCTGTATTTACAGTGCAGATGTTTTTGTGAAAGACTTAGACTCAACTTTATTTATCCTTTGGGATTATTCCTTCAGTGAAATTCCAGTTCCAGTAGCTTATATAGAGAACAAAGAGTTAAAGCAAGATGCAATTAAAGATAGAAATAGAGCAGACAATATAAAAAGACTGTATATAGTACAAAAAAGGATTAAAGAAGAAAAAGTTGTAATGTCCTGGAATAGGTTTCCCTTCTATAAAAAAAAAATTTGCACTGAAGAGAGCTATGGGAAGACTACATAGTAGTTCACTTGGGTTATTACACTTGCAACGCAGAGATGTACTGACCATATAAATAAGTGAACATTATACAGATTACACAGTGGTGTAGTCTATATAATAAGAACATGGTGATAAGCATCATGTGCTTCTTTGTTCAAACATCTAGAGACTGAAAAAACCTTTGTTTGAAAAAAAAAAAATAAGAAAAAAAAATGAACTAAAGCTGATGGAAAGCATCTACAAAAGATCATTTAGTTTTCTGGAGAACTTGGGTCTATACTTTAAAAGGACCACCCTAAAGCCTGAATATGCTATGGGCTAAAACATGTCAAATATACGTGAGGTGAAAATAATACAATATTATTCTTGTTAAATTTTTAAACATCAAAGTTAAGGAGTTTTTTGTACATTTTCCAAAAAATATGAGGATATGGCCAGATTTTCTGAAATGATAGAGATGTGTGTCCTTGCAGTACTAAAAGATGGCCATAAAGATTGCAAATTATTTTGGGTCTGGATTATAAAAAGGAAAAGAAAATTATCACTTTTCAGCATCAAGAACAGAGTTGGGATCATTTTTGAAAATGATTGCTGTATTTAGACCATTTTAATAAATTAATCTGCATTTCAGTAAAAACTTGACTGTAGTAATAGCGGATCAATCTGGATTATGTCGGATTGCACTGCTAAGTTCAATTTGACTTCCACACAGTATCCATCTGTACAATTTCAATATTCAAGGCTAATGGATCTATTGGCCTTTGGTAAGATTTATTTTCAACAGGTTTGTGAATTCATAAATCTCGCAACAATTCTTCGCACTTGCAATGTAAATAATTCTGCCTTAATTAAGAATAAAAGGTCACCATCTGCCCATTAACTACCTGTACTTTGCGAAACAATCATTCAAGAATTGTAGTTGGGGGGACGAAGAAAATTGGTTTGGGGACTGCAAATGGCCCCTTGGCCGCACTTCAGACACCAGTGGTCTAAACCATTCTATGTCGTTCTGGTTAAATATTTTGGATTTTATTTCTATTAAAATACTAAGCGGTTTAGTTTTTAGGTTTTTTGAGAGTTCTTTTTTTTTTTCTCCAGGCTTTGCGTTTAGCTCAACTGCCTCCATGACCCTACAGAAGTTCAGAGATTGAGATCCTGTTTTAAAGCTTCCCGTCATTTCTGCTCCAGACCTTCCTGGTGGGATCATTGTTCATCAATAGTAGAGTCGTCTGGAGCATCTGGATTAAAACATTAACCTGGAGATGAAATCGAGTAGCAGGGTATTTACAAAAAATAAAAAATCTACACATCATTTTTAAAAATAATACCATACAAAGGAGAGGCTTTTTAAACCATCCCACAGTAATACATTACTAGAAGATTTGTATTATGTCGTATGGCCAAGTAAATAAACAATGGTCACACATGTGACACAGTGCAGCAATATTTGTTAGAGACCGCAATGCACCAGACTAAAATTAAAATTGAAATCCCTAGTTTCTTGCTGGGACAACCTGTGAGCTGTGGACAGTCTCTTAACAACCGGCAACCGATTCATCCTAGAGGTATGAGTCAAAGGGAATTAATTGAAAAAAATAAAAATCCCTTTCTACTTTTCTAAATATTATTCATTTAAACGGAAAAAAAATGTCTGGCCTAAGAAACCGTATCCTTAAATTAATTATACTTTGACAAAATGGGTAAAGTTTCAATGATATGAAAACTATTTTTATATCAATTAAGCTGTTGAGTTTTCTAAAGCTTCAAATGAAGTGAGAGGAGATAATAGGATAGAAGGCAGAACCAGCACTCAGTCCTTATCCAGACAGATAAGACGCAGCACCCACTTTATAACCATATCAAGTCAACAGCTGGGACATTCTCACACTAGCAAGGCAGGCTGGTGCCTCCTATTAATGGCATTAAGATCAGCCACCAGATTCCATTCCCCAATTCACCATCAGTGATATCAATAAAAAGGATAAGACCTGTTATTAAATATGTGCGAGTCAAATCACTGATTAATCTACTTGTTGTAAATTAGATGTATTGGGGTTTAACAGCTCTAAAGTCAAACATAAAGTGGTTTAAACTGTAAGAATTATATTGAGTCAGAGGGAGGAGCAGCAACAGCTGTTTTTCTGCCAGAGGAACAAATGTGTTTTTAAGATTTGGTAATGCCTCTGGTTTCACAACCCTGCTGCCCAAACAGAAGGGCATGAGTCAAACATCAGTGATTAAAGGTCACGCTGTGTGCCTTCCACATAGCTGCCACATTTCAGAGGCGACATGCTCATTAAACTGATCCTACTCTGAATTTGGTCAACTGTGATGATATGTAGAAAACAGCGCTGAGAAAGGCTAATCCTCCAGGATCTGCTCTGTAACTTAAAATAAAACATTTCTCCATGTGCTCTATGGATCTTACATCTATTTATGACAAAATGTTGCAAACACTAAATCTGATCTGAAAGAAAATGATCTAAACTCTATTACACCAACTGAAACTGATTACAAGGAATCTCTAGAGATGTAGGCTAAAAGAAAATGAAGCACAAGGGTGACTCCCAATAACAGTCATTCGTTGAAGGAACCGATCCGGGTGTCGGGAGCCTCCTGTTCCTCGGCTGCCTCAAACACATGAATAATGAACAACCACACTATCCAAGAACACAATGTCATTCAGCGCTACAGTCTAGATGTTTATATGGTTAACCTGTTAGCTCCGTCACTTCTGAGGCAAGAATTAGACCCTGCAGAAAAAGAGGTGTCTGAATTATTAAAATTTGTTTTTTTGTTAGTCTCCAAAGAAAATATACACTTAGGCTCTCAGACTACATACAAAGCAAATGAAGTTTAATCTTCTTTACAGGGGTGTGCTGGAACTGAGGAGTATTTAGTAAAGTTTAAATTAATTAATTAATATGCAAGATATCAGATATCAGCTGGTGACTAGCATCACCTGTTTATTAAAATGTAAATGTAAATCCGTTTATTAAACCATCACCTTGGGGGAGCAGTGGGCTGCCATTGTGCGGCGACCAGGGAGCAGTGTAGGTGGGGGTTAAGGGTTTTGCTCAGGAACCCAGAGTGGCAGTCTGAGGGGGTCGAACCGGGTACATGCAAACATCTCAGAGCACACGCTCACATTAGACAACTAGGTAAGACCGCTCACTGGAACAACTATTTACAGCAAACAAAATGAACTAGAAATAAACTTAAGAAGCACAGACATGCTATTTAAAACAAAAGAGATGTTACAGGTTTAATTAAAAGGAGAATTATTATTCCAAGTATTAACTTTTATTTTCCCCCAAAAAATTAAATCTTCTACAAAGTGTGATAAAAAAAGAAATCAAACTAGGATCAAGTGTGTGTAGTAGGGGGGTCCTGTTAGCAATGCAGGACTATCGCTGTCCAGTTGTACACGTGCTCCATGTTTTATTTTAGGTAACTTAAGGTTAAAAAAAAAAAAAAAAAGCCTTGCTTAGGTATGTCCTAAAAAGGGAAAGGGCCTTTCAGTCCCATCAGCCAAGGCAGGATAGTCTTTTCTTACATAGTTGGCTTCAAAATTTAGATTTAAAGGGGGACACCGTTTTTTTTTTACATTTGGCCCTTGATTTTACGTAATTACATCATGTTCTACCCACCCATATGAGTTTTGTGCCATTTGGAGCTGTTCTGAAGATATTCGGTTTTGTAATCCAAGTAACGTCTTCCTATGGGCAACGAGTTGAAGGCACAAACTAAACTGTTTATGTTTAAACTGTTTATAAATTGATAATTTATGGTACGCCAGCATTCATAACATGTAGGCGCATCACTGTCCCCAGACATCCGCGGTTATATTTTTTATATTTATATTTTTTTAAACAAAGCAGAGTGTGTATGACGTCATCCGTGCACCGCACTGGATTAGTGACAGGCTGCCCGGGCCACAGGCGGCTACACTCTACCCCTTCCATTCATTCGGGGAGCTAATCTGAATCGTTCAATTCCATTTGGGGAGTGAGATCATCTGTGGTAGTAGCACTAGACATCTTCCAGGCATGTAAATAAAACTAGCAGCAGTTCAGTAGACAGGATGAATGAATGGTAGCCGGCGAGCATGAATGATGTCATACACGCGCCGCTTTGTTTTAGAAAAATATAAATGTAAAAAAAACGGTGTTCCCCTTTAACTCCACATGTTTTTTCTTAATAGAAGTTATATTTAATAGTAATAATAATATTAATGATAATAGTGAAGATATTACATTTTATGTTAATGGGGGGAGCTGAAATTCACTTAAGAAGTTAAGGATGTAAATGTATCGGTTTTAGATTATTAAATCACTGTTTTACGAGTCTGCTCTTCTAATCTCATCAGAAAGCTGGAATTAAAATATCTTGAAATTGTTTCAGTTTTTTTTTTTTTTTAAGTAATTAAAATTCAACAAAATTCTGTATCTGGTGAAGATTCTCAGTCATTCAGGTCAACAATGCCTTAGAAAACATGCAAATTGAGCCAACACAAGGCTTTGTTTTTGGTCCACTCTATAAAGCCTGGAACTCAACTCTATTTCTGACATTTTGAATTAAAAAAAGCTTCCTGGTGAAGAATCAACTCTATACGTCAGGGCAAGGTGGGAACGTGAGCTGGGTGAGGGCATCCCAGAGGAAATGTGGAATGACATGTGGGAAGTTCACCTAACTACAACACAATCACAGCAGTGGCGAGATTTTGCTTGGAAGAACCAGATCAGATACTTCATAACACCCCAAATTAAAAGTAAACAAATGAAAACTCAAAAAACATGCTGGAGGCATTGTAACCACGTGGATTCTGACCATTCACACATTTTCTGGAAATGTGAAAAAATAGTCATTCTGGGATGCCATTCACTCAGCTATCTGTGAGATTTTGACGCATGTGATACCCCGATCTTGTCTTGTGTTGTACTTGGGATATTTGGACAATACTGTACATGTAAAAGACCAATATCTGCTAAAGATTCTCCTTGTGGCTGCAAAGAAAACAATATCTAAGAACTGGCTTAAAACTGAAACCCCAACATATGAACAATGGATCCGTATTGTAGAAGACATCCAAACAATGGAACGACTTGCGTATAAATTGAAAATGAAAGAAGAGGCTTTTGTAAAGGACTGGGAAAAATGGTTATTATATACAACAAAAAGAGCTTATTGCTAATTTTGATCTCTTTATTATTTTTTATTAATCTACCCCCTACAGGCTTTGTTGCTGTTCATGTTTTTCTTCATTTATATTTCTTCTATGTAAACATATTTTTTTATTGTTTGGTATAGTTTTGTTTGGACTTGTTTGTTATGTTCTGTTATCAAATTGCAAATGTGACAGAAGAATGAAAAGAACTAGTGGGAGAAAAAAAAAAAAGATGGGAGAAAAATGTCAATTTGCCCTCCCCCCACATATATAAAAAAAGGGGGGGACTAGAAAACTTGATATTTGTAAAGAGTGCAATTCATATGTTTATAACTAAATGAAAAAGATATAAAAAAAAAAAAAAAAAAAAAAAAAGCTTCCTGGTTGGGATAGCAAAACATCTTCAAACTTGGAAACACAGTCCAGTGGATTGTTTTTTAAATTCTGTATCAATGGTTCAGAAACCAACATAAACCAGACACTGGAAATCTTCCGCACTGTTGTTTTCACCCTCAGATAGTGAGTACATGTGTAAACTTCAAGTTCTACAGTTTATTGCATGGTTTTGATTGGTTAAGAGAAAAAATAGCATATCACTCAAAGGCTTGGACAGACTTTAGCTATAAATAGAAATGTGCCTGATGCTTAAGCATTTCCTGACAACAGCAGGTATACACCAGGTTGTATAATAAAAGGGCTGCACACTGAAAACAATGATAAAACTCATTACTTATATGTTATTAAATATCTTTTATAAATTATCCTTTGACATTAATCCCGGAAGCTGCAAATAAAAAAAAAAGGGGCAGCATATTTTGAGAAGAACAAAATATTATATATTTTCTTACCTCAGCCAAAGTTTGCTGTAGAACGATGACGAGTGCCTGAAACCTGCGGTCGCTGGATGCAAGGGGTTTTTCAAGCTGCTGGATCTTCTGCTGTCGGCCTTCATCCTGTACCACTTTCTGGGACCCAGTCCTCCTGGTTGTATTGGAATGCTGCTGTTGAGGTAGCCTGGCGCTGGTCTTGCACTTGTTCACTATAAAAAAAACATAACAATGACCATTAGCATCCTCCCCTCCATAACCCCTGCTGATTGCCACCCAACCAATCTGTCCGTCATGTTTGAAAAGAAAGGTTGGGTTACTGCACACCTTAAGAGTACTTCCTAATCATCAGCCTGATGAGTACAGCGCTGCTCCTCAAATCCAATCCAGTACAAACCAGTAGCCAAGGACAGCTTATTCTCTCAAGGTCATTCTGCAGCAGGTTTGATTTACATCTGCTTTATAAATACATCAGTGACATCTGATAGGCACCATTACTTTGACTAATGAAGAGAAGTTTGTCACCAGAGCACAGGGTTAAATTATCAGAAGACATACCTCCAACCAAGGAGCAGAATGAAGGGGGGGGGGGTGATACTGGAAGGGGTGACTGATTGGTGAAATGATTTTATTATACAATAAAAACAACAGTAAAAGCTGCTGGTTTCTAGAACAAATTTTAACACCTTGACCACCTTATATATATATATATATATATATATATATATATATATATATATATATAAATAAAATCTGGATCTTTGATTATTTTAACTGTTCTCAGTCAAAGCCAATCAGAAAACAGATTTATTTTAAAATGTTTGAATATCTTTGCTGAAAAACTGGACATTTTCTCAATGGGGCAGTTAATGAGTTAAATAACTAAGGTAAGGTAATTAATTCTGATGGTATGAAGTTTCAAAGGGTCTCTTCCTATAAGTATTTCGGAATATGAACTGAGAAAAAGCTTTCATTCATTTAATGTGCATACCTTCAATCTAGTAAAGCAGCTCAAAATTAAGATTTGTTTCATTTATTAAATTTAACAAATCTTATTTATATTAGCCTAATATAATTAAAACAGCTGTTCTAGCTTATGGATTGACCCAAAACTGTTCTTTTTTATTGCGACTTTAATCGTTGTTTAAATAAATAAAATTAAGCATCTTGTTAAGATGCTAAGTCTGTATGGTAAAGCTCACCCATGTTTTAGAAAGACTCAATCTTTTTTTTACTTGAGAAATGACCAAGGAAACTGTAAGAAGAGATTCCCCAAGTCTGAACTTTTGCAGACAGTTATGATGCAACATGAGGAAGTAGGTTCCTTAACGAGGAGTGCAGACTCTTTAAATCTAAACTGAGTCAGCTCTCATTCCTAACTTAATATTCTGACATGTACACTCGCACACAAATAAACTACTCGTTTATTGAAAATGCTTCCAGTGGAAACCCTTTGAAATCTGACTAAAACAAGCCAATAATTCTGTAAGCGTCATAAAAACAAAGTTTACAAACATTTAGACTTTGCTCCCACGGTATAATAATGTCTTACTTCCTTAAGTTGAGTTTTTTCATTAGCAGGTTGGATAGTTGTACTAAAAAGTTTGTCAAACAATGATTCAAGAAACTGATATCTGTAGGTCTTTAAATAACACTGCCCTCTAGTGGCTTTGCAGAGAGAGGAAAAAATACAGTAAATAATCTGATCTTTCTGTGTGATATGTCCTGTGGCTGATATTAAATATGTGATAGGATCCATTATTCTGTAATATGTTATAAATTCAATGTTCAGGTCATCTTATCTTTAAGAAAATGAAACCCAAACAGAAGTAAAGTACATCCTCTGCATATTCATGAAGCCATTCTACAGATCCAGGAGCACAGGTGGTCTAAATGAAACGCTGCTAAATTTGAATAATTTATGCAGTCACCAGTTAAACTATTGAAATGTGAGCCAGAGAAGTGGTCTGGTTCTGATCAGAGATGTGAAGGATCATCTACATTAGTTTCTTTCAACAGGTGTATTTCTATTAACATTTTGAAACTTTGAAAAGCATCATCGGCTCCATCCTTCTGCTTTCCATAACACACAAACCTGCATTTGATCAAACCAATCAGACCTGGTCTCTTTAACCAATGGAGGCACAAGGAGGCCAGTGGGCCGTCTTTGTGAATCCACCAAACAGACATAAATGTTGCCCTCCTTCACCTCAGAGACGCTATACAAAGTTAAACATCCAACTTTAAAAAAAACACCAAGCAAAAAGACAGACACTGTTCTGCTCAGAGACATCGCAGCGCAAAGCATGATGGGTGAGGAGACCCCTGACAATTAGATGTTTGTCATGGTGCTTGGTGTCATCTATTCTCTGAATAGAAAGAATCAAACAGAGGTTCTCAATCTGAAAAAGTGGATTCTCAATTAGAAGCCACATCATGCTGTTAAAAGCATATTCTCCTTTACTAGTACAGCAAAAGGTCCTCGTATGTAGACAAGATCATGTTTTTCTTAAACAATGTTCTAACATTAAGTTTTAATAGAAACTAATAATAATTTAAACTTGACTTTTGCATTATTAAGCTTTTTCAATACCATCAACAGTGTTTATAAAAACAGCATCTTAATGATTCACAGCAGCATTATGAACAGAGTATCACAGATGAGTGGGTGTCTCAGTGTGGAAGAGCAGACACTCTGACAGTTCCATAGACCTGAGCCTTAAAAAGGTGACAATCAACCAAAGCAGGTCTCCAATAATGTCAGATTTATGGTTGTTTACAGCTGCTAAAATCGCCACATCTAAATATACTTTAACAGAGTTGAAGTTTCGGTTGACTTAGACGGGTAAATGAAACCTGAGCCATTTGCCTTTTTAGCTACTTATATGTTTAACTAAAAATAGCTTGTATGAACAGCCAACAGCAGATCTGGATTTTAAAAAGGAACAAAAACAGGTTTGGCTCTTCTATTACAGAACAGAAAGGCAGAAAAACTCCAGAAATACAACCAAACAGCAGCAGGATTAAACATGGATGAAATGGACAGACCTGCTTTGAAAACCACAGGGCTTTTCCTGCATCCTGACAGCAGCTGAATGTTTCGCAGTAAACCTTTGGCCGTCAGACGCACATGGATGTTTGATAGGGAGAGCTTCGGGGACCATAGCATGGCTTGAAAGCAGAAAACTACTCAATGTTTGAAGCCAGTAATAAATCGGGATGGAAAAAATATAGAAATAGAAATCTGTGTCCTAATATAGACGCCTCATCCGTGATGCCCACACCTGCAGCTTTGGTACTGCATCCTTAGATGACGGACGTGGACTGGGAAAATATATGAATAAATAAACTAAAGAAGCCTTTAATAAAATAAAATAATTAAAAAATTATGGCACCTGCTTCAGCATGGCAAAACTCCCAAGTTAGAAAACAAAACAGATTCCCAGCTGAGAGTAAAGGAAAAGTCCATTCGATGTTGCTCAGATCTTAGATTTCATGTAAAGAAACAAAAAACAAAAACTATCCTTTAATCCTGTTGGGAAACTAAGCTTCAGTCTGCCAGAGCAGCATTTCTAAACATGATAACAGTACTGGTGCTGAAGTAGAGCGAGGATACACAAACAGTGCTTAATGTGGGCGGAGCAATCAAAAGCTGCAGCCAATGAGATTCTAATCTAGTTCTCTGGCTGAGGGAAAGTTCCTCTACTTTATTCAGACTCCCTCTCCTCTCAGGATGAGCAGAAAACTGAATAAAGTCTCTATGAAAATAAGTTTTCAATAAAAAGCTTTTTTGGACGTCTCTTATTGAACACAGAACGCATTCAGGGAGCCAAATGGATTCACACTGCAAAAACTGAAATGAAAGGAAGTTATTTTTCCTGAAATAAGTGTATATTCCCTTGATTTAGGCAGGTAAGACAATTTGCCAATATAACAACTTGATTTAAACTGAAAATAAGAAAAACCTATTAACTAATTTCAACTTAAATTAACTCATTTCAAGTTCATAATATTTAATTATTACTTTTAACAGAATCTGATTTATTTGCTCTAGTCAATGGGCAACATTTATTTTGAATATTTTACCTAATTTTAGATAAATTTTTGCAGGTTTCCAAGAATCTATAAGTTTGAATAAAACTGACTGTGCAGTATGACAAATTAAGGATAAAAACATGTCTTTTAAACATAAATCACAGTATAATTTATTTGGATTTCAGAAAAAAAAAAATAGATTTTTAGCTTTTGAATAAGAGTATCTCCTTTTCTTTTTTCCGAATATTATCCAGTACATGAAAATGATGCCCCTTCATACTTTTTTCTGACTTTCAAGACTGCTTAAGAACCCAGATGATCATCAATTCTTGTTTCGTAAGTAGTATTAACATAAAGAGTAGGAGATGATCTACATTTTGAGGAGACAAAGAAATGAATCTCACCAGTTCCAACTGAAATTTGCTCGGCAGGTCTTCCATAATTTGTCTTTTTTTTGCGGACTGGTGGCAGAACTTGATGCTCCCTTGCTTGTGGAAGTTGCAGACCGGCAGACTGTAGTCACAGCTGTTAGAAGAAGAAGATCCAAGTGGGAGAAAATGCTGCAGTTAATCCAACCCATGATGAGGCAGAACGCTAGTAACTAGAAACACTATGAAATAATGATGCTAGTGAGCAGTTTTAAAGCTGAACCAAAAGGTGAAGGGCTGGAGTTAAATAGATGTTGGAGTGATGCAATCAAATCATGATTAAAGTGTCTTCATCATGCAGCATTACCATAGAGTATCAGAGGATACCACAGCATTGTTTGATAAGGCTAGCATAAAAGATATGACTAACGAAGTTAACATAAGGGGACAAAACAATCACTGTGAGAAAGGTGATTGGTGTAAAATGTGACTGTTTAAGAGAAGATTTTGGATGCTGCAAGTTCAGGTTTGATTAAAAAGCTCTAATCAGTAAATATGTTACCTGTAATAAATAACTCTTTATCTGCCAACTTTAAACACCTAATGAAACCTTTTGTCTCCAAAACATCTCATTAGCTAATGCCGTTGGATTCGTACGTTACTGGCGGTGCCTATGGAGACTGAGAACAAAGTAGATTTATTTTGAGCAGCTCAAAGGCCGCCTCAATTTGCTACAGCAATGCCTACAGGTAGCAGATATGATCACATTTTGAAGAGGATGAAGACAGAGGGGAAAAAAGGATCTTCAGTTTGTTTAAAATTAAGAAAATGGTCAGCTGACTTTGGAGCAAATCTGATAACCAGTCATGGTCATCATTTCAGGTTATAAAGAAATGTCCCATAAATTCTTTATTAAAAAAAAGGGAGGAAAATGATCCCAACCTATGAGTTAACCAAAAAGAAGATGGTGAAAGAAGCCACTGCAGATTGTGTGTTTTCTTCACCACAGATGCATGGACAGAGCCCATAAGATGGCAATACAGAAAACAAAACAGATCCGCCAATGAAATAATGAATTTCCACTGAGGGAATAGCAGCACTAATGAACATGAAGACGCTCTTTCTTCCAACCTATGGAGGGAGTCTGGTGGTGCTGGACAAAACACCAATTTGCGGCAGCTCAGGGAGGCACCCGTGTTGCAGATTTGAAAACTGCATTGCAGGTGGTATCCAACTACATTTGTCTACTGCATGTTCCACAATCAGAATGTTAAGCATATTCATAAAGGTAAACATGCTATATCGAGTGCGTCCACAGTATTGTTAAAGTGAAAGACCATTCTCACTGTGGCTGGTTAGTAGATCAGCTTTGTCTGCAATCTAGAATGCTTTTCTACATGCAAACTGGGGCTGCATGTATAAAACATGCTAAAACATCTAAATTGTAATATTAATTGGATTTTCCTTTACATCAACTAAAATCTTGTAGCTGTTCCCCTCCAAGGTTTTGCTGTTTGCATGACTTTGAAAGCTTGCTTGTCCAGAGTCCATTGAAGCAGAACTTTATTACCATTGTGTGGAAAACTGCTCACCTTTACTCTAATGTGTGCATGTACCCACATATTACTGCCACCTATATGACAGGAGTAAGAAAGTCAGTAAGTACTCTTGTTAAATGTGACCAAAATGAAGCGTCTCTGTAATTTGAAAACTGTGGTTTATAATTCAAATGTCTGATGACAGTGTCTAAACGTCACTTGCGCCACTTCTCGTGTTACCCCAGAAATCCCACATCCTCCGTCACCGCTCCGCTCCAGACAGCCTCCGCTGTTCCTCCCGTATTGCTGCGCTCCGACTTCTTTGGAGGTCGAGGAGAGCATGCGCGATATTATCATTGAATTCGTAGGAGGAAAAAATGCAGAAATGAAGGCTTAATTTAATACGACATTAAAAATAATCCCCATCAGCATCCAGCATATGTGTGGTTTCTGATGGAGATGAGAAATCTGCTTCCTGGTCTGTTGAAGAACCAATAGTTTGCATCCAATCTTTTAAAAAAACTGTTAGTTTTTTTAAATATAAAAGAATTATGCTCTAATTTGTAGTTACCAATCTCTTGTTGCTATATTTTAATTTGACAAACCAGATCTTCTCACCATTCTTTTTCTTCTTTGGTGCGATTGCAATGGCGGATCTTGACCTGGCTGGAGCTGAGCCTGAACATTTAGAGTATGTTTGGCTCAACCTGCTGCTGTGAGGCAGGATTCTCCACCATGGACAGAATCAAAAATAAATATTGATTCAGGTTTCATGAATGAGCACCTTGATATGTGCTTGAGAATGTGTTTGTTGGCAACCAAACCCAGGGTTAAAGCCTTGCAGGGCAGTGTAAGGGCCTCTGCTCTCATCAAGCCAAAAAATAATAAAATAAACAGTCCGTTCAGGTGTTTTAAAAAAATATGTGAATCAGGTAATTATATACCAAACTGAACCATTGTTGTTCTCTACTTCAAAAAACACTAGATTTTAAAATGGGAATTAGTTTTTTCTTTCTCTGTCTCTCTCTCTATATCTATCTATCTATATAAATATATATATATATATATATATATATATATATATATATCTATATCTATATCTATATCTATATCTATATCTATATCTATATATATATATATATATCTATATAGATATAGATATATATCTATATAGATATATATCTATATAGATATAGATATATATCTATATAGATATATATCTATATCTATATAGATATATATCTATATAGATATAGATATATATCTATATATTTTTTTTTTTTTTTTTTTTTATTCAATGTATAACATGGATGCATGAACACCTCATTTTGTTTCAGCGTTAAATTCTGTTTAAAGTAACAGATTATAATTAAAAATGTCTCCGGACCTTTACTGGTTGATGATTTTCTTTAATCGGACCCTGCTGATTTTTTAAATTGGTTACCTCTGGTTTAGAAGATCAGAGCATTTCACTATCATCTGGGATGAAATAACTTGGATTTATAATAAGTGCAGACCCCAAAGGATTTATCTACTGCAGGGAAGACATGACATAACATAAGAAATATCACTCTTAGAAATCCTCACATTTTGCTAAAATGAGTAAAAATTCCTCTCAGAGACATAAGGAGACATTTCTTACCTGATCCAGGGTTTTTTGCAGGGGTTGAAATGAGCCTTGGTCTCAGCAAAACAGGTTTAAATGGTGTTTGCTTGTTTGCTGCTCCTCCAGAAACTGTGGGGCAAATGCAGACATGTGTGGGCTAAATACATCAAAGCATACATTAAAACTCTGGGTATAAATCATTTTAGCCACAGTACTTATAGTTCCTAAATCATACTTTTATTTATAATATAATATAATAAAACAGGTGAAAAAAATTTACATTTCACATTTCTAAGCAGTATTTCACAAACTGTTTGTGCTAAATGTGTTACCAGTAAATGGTAGCAGCCCTAAAACCTAACCATGTCTCTAAAAGCTTTCTACCATTTCCATGAAACGCCGCCAACAAAGGGATGATACAAAAGCGATAAGATCCGATGAGCAGGCATGTCAGCAGGGTCAAATCACAGCTGGATTCTGAATCTCTTTGTGCAAAAAAAGAGGAGTTATAGAAAACATGAGTTGGGATTTCAGTCCAAGTGCAGCTCCGGAGTCCAGTGTAGCCAGCCATGGGTTGTTAGTTAGAAATGAAATAAAGAGTGATTTCTCTCCCCATCCACCTCAGACAACATCAGTTTGAATAGGTCTGCTTTTACTCCTCCAGGCTACTTTCATTGTTAAGTAGAGTGAAAGAGGAGGTTGCCATGACAACAAAAGGCAGGGTCCCTAGTTTGTTGAAAAGGTCCTCTAAGCCAATAACAGCAGGACGCAGGCTGCTGAATATTCTGGATGCAAGAGCGGCTCATCTGTCCAGCTCTGCTGTTAATCAGTTAGTTTTACTTCACTGGCTTTAGATGAATTATTTTTATTTAAATTTATATACTATCTATCAAAGTATGTAAATATTAATTCAGGTAAATAAAACAACAAAAAGCCTATACTAGGGAAACATTTATCCAGATCAAGGCCTGAAATGGGTTAATATTTAAGAGCAGCATTTCTGCATTCTTATGAGCCTCACCTGTTGTTCTCTTAGATTCCTGTCCCAGCATCTTCCTTGGTGGTCTAACTGCAGGAGTAGCAGGAGGGCCCATAGATGAAGGTCGACTAGGAGTATGAGGAGGCTTGGATGCATTTTGCTGGCGCTTGGTGCCTACGAATGGCTCCTCTGCAGCCTGGGCTCGTTGACTGCCTGGTATGGAGTTGAGAAAAAATTTACCAAAATAAAATATAATAAAAACTTTTTGATTAAACTTTTCCTTTTCATTTCCTTCAAAAACGTTTATTTTTCTAAAGTAGTATATCAGAAATGAAAACTCTCCAGCTACGATTGCATATTAAAGGGCACACTTCACAGATTTTCCACAGAAACAGAGCAGTGGAGCCACCTGCATGTCAGAAAACGCTCATTGTCACCCTCTGATGGAGGGGCAGCGTTAAAACATTCAACCAGTACAGTTTCCATCCAAACTAGGAGCTTCATCTCACAAAAGAATTAGAACATAATAAGGTGAATTAATATCAAGAATTAGATTCAATATGAAGAAAATTACTACAAACAATTTAAGTGGTTTTGTTCTAATTTTGAAAACTAAAATGTAATAATATTACTTAAGACGAATAAAAAATATGTTTTTAAAAACAGTAATGTTAGCAAAGGAGACACCATGTACCAACAAATGCAAACTTTACTTTCATTTGAACAGAGTACTTGGAACAACAATCCAGTTCTTTTGATTTTTGAACTACTAAGACATTTCTGACATCAGCTCTGGTTTTGAATCATCTTAATATGAGGAATGAAAGCTGAACATGTCTCATAATTCCTTGTGTTTGGGCTGTTGAAACTCTGAACCCAGCTGTAGACCACACCTTCTGAATCTCCTATTCTTGAATGGACTTTGCTTTACAATCCTCCTAAGGCTGGTCTTCGACCCAGCACTCGAAAAACACCCAGCTTATTTAGAAATGAGCTTTTCTTACCTACTTCTCTTGTAGACTGTGAACGACTGCCAAGTCACAATGAGAATTTAACTGTTAAAGTCAGACAGATAAATTCCTCTCTGCTGCAGTGGATTGAGGCGATGACTTTATTTCTAGATATCCTGGTTCAAAGAAAGGTTGTCCTGTGTTAAACTCTGCTTAGTGAGCCCTGAATATAGAAGCAGATGAAATTCCTCTAAAACTGACATGAATAATTGAAATTTGTCAAATTTCTCTGAAAGATGACGTTACTCTGAACTTCAGAGCATAATAGCAGGAAAAAATGTGTTTAACACATTTACCTCTTTATTAGTAAATATACATGAGAAACTGGTCGGAGTTTCTGGAGGACATAAGACCAAACACCCACTCCTCACTCTTTACAATCCCTTTGACTAAAATGCAGTCACAGCTTAACAAATGCGCTGACAGAGAGCACAACCTTTAAAGGAGAATTCCGGTTTTTAACACTTTTAGCCCATTTTCTGTAGTGTCCAGGATGAAATCGAATGATCGATACCAAAATTTTGACAATTGGTCCTGTCTCTGCTTTTTGGCTCATTTAGAATCACCCCCTGGCTGCTTCAGAATGGCTTCCATTGTGCATGTCCGATAATGTCCTTAAAACAACCTTAAACGTTCTTTTTTTTAAATATGCTACTCACCGGGTCGTCAGCGCTGTTCAATGACGTTCCAAAAAAAGTTTCGTAAAGAAAAAACCGTTCCTGTAGTGTTTTATTTAGCATTTTGTAAATCCCATTGAGTTCTGTTGGAATAGTCAATATTCCGCTGCCACCGGAAACGGAAATGGGGCCTGTTTACACAGTTGTAGTCTTTTCGCTTCACTCTGTGTACTCCGACGTCGAGGTGCTAACGTCTCTGTTAAACACTTTAAAAAACTCTGAAAATGGAATACGAAAGGTGGATTCTTGATTCTCGACGTCGGAGTACACAGAGTGAAGCGATAAGACTACAACTGTGTAAACAGGCCCCATTTCCGTTTCCGGTGGCAGCGGAATATTGACTATTCCAACAGAACTCAATGGGATTTACAAAATGCTAAATAAAACACTACAGGAACGGTTTTTCTTCACGAAACTTTTTTTGGAACGTCACTGAACAGCGCTGACGACACGGTGAGTAGCATATTTAAAAAAAAGAACGTTTAAGGTTGTTTTAAGGACATTATCGGACATGCACAATGGAAGCCACTCTAAAGCAGCCAGGGGGGGATTCTAAATGAACCAAAAAGCAGAGACAGGACCAATTGTCAAAATTTTGGTGTCTATCATTCGATTTCATCCTGGACACTACAGAAAATGGGCTAAAAGTGTTAAAAACCGGAATTCTCCTTTAAAAGCACAATAAAAAAATAAATTAATAACAGAAGCAAGAATGAGCTGAGTTGGCAAATAGGCTAAAAATACAGGAGAAAAAAATATAACAGTTATTAAAAATAGATTTTTCCCAGGACTACATCATATCTCTTTAGTGCCACCCGGTGAGGGCATGATTATGCATTGGTTTGTTTTTGTGAAGATGTTCATAGTAAATTTTTTATTTAAGAATGGCCAATAAGTTCACAGTTAGCTTTGGTTCAGGAGGGGAAGATGTCCATGCTGTTGTCCTTGCATCATTTACAGGCCAACCATGCATCCAGCATACACACCGAGCCAGAGATGGGAAGTAACGAAGTACAAATACTTCGTTACTGTACTCAAGTAGATTTTTCTGATATTTTTACTTTACTTTACTACTTATTTTTATGGCGACTTTTTACTTCTACTCCTTACATTTTTACACAAATATCTGTACTTTCTACTCCTTACATTTTAAAAAATTGGCTCGTTACTTTAGTTTTGAATCATTTCAATGGAGTTACCGTTATTATTTTTCACGTCATCAATACCAAATTCAATCTATATGGATGGGAATCTACGTTGCATTTGACGCACCACTACAAGATGAATCGACAGATTCGGCGGTATTCATTCGCGGCAAATCATTGCAGCTTGGTGGCGGTGGCGTTAGCATAGTAGCATGGACGACGAGATGATTGAAAATGAACACAACGGAGATCTAGTCCTATTGGCAGACATCCATTTAAAATGTAGGCAACGGCATGAAAAAAGTGGTTTCTACTTTTACTTTTATACTTTAAGTAAATTTACAAGCCTGTACTTTGTTACTTTTACTTGAGTAAAGAAGTTTAATCAGTACTTCCACTTTTACCAGAGTATTTTTTTAACACAATTATCTGTACTTTTACTTAAGTACGGAAAGTGAGTACTTTTGCCATCTCTGCACCGAGCCCTCTAAACATTTCAGAGTTCAGTTTAAGAGTTAGTTTAAAGTTCATTTTCAAACCAAAAAAAAGGTTTGACTAATACTCCACCTCTTGGTTGTAATTATGGTGGACCTCTGTGCCCTTTAATAGGCCAATCAAGAGAGAAAAGGAGAGATAATATTAAATTATACCAAATAGCTAATTTCACACATTTTGACCAAAATACCAGCTTGGTGGTGTCAGACATTTTTCTGGAAACTCCAATTAAATCAAAGGTAAACTTACTTTCACTACTTTGGGCTTTCCCAGCAGTTCTTGAGTTCCTGTCCTCAGGCCTCCCCAGCACTCCCAGTCTGAGTCTGGCTGACAGAGGAGCTGCTCTGGAACCAGCGGCTGGAGGCTGGGAAAGTGACGCTCCTCTCGCTCGTCTGGGGGAAGGTTGGCCTTGAGATCTACTTTTGCTTTCATTCAGCTGGGGTCCTGCTATGGTTGATCTGCTGGGCTCTGCCTGGGAAAACAAAACAAATATATGGATGGAATAAAAATCTAACACATCATGTATTTAAATTTCTAGGATCAGGCATCTGCTCACCACCAGACTGATCTTCTTTACACCTCTGGAGTTTTCAACAGAATGGTTTGTTCTCTCAACGGGTTTCTGTTGGGGAGGGCCCTTCACGTTGCCTGCTTTAGCTGAGCTCTTCACGCTGTCCTCTTGAGAAACAGGCAAACTCGCCGTAACTCCTTGAGGTGCTTTATTCTCTTTAAGTGGCCTAGATGTTGCTGAACTCTCAGAGGACGAGCGAGGCTGCGTCGTCCCAACGGTAGGCCTGTCCTGACCTGAAACCGATCCAGAACGGACCCCAATTTGATTTGAAACATCCTTCTTTGTAGTGGGTTTGGGCTCCACTGGGCCATTTCCAGCTGTGGATTTATTTTCATTTGAAGCACAGCTCAGGCTGGTGGCATGTTGTGCTGATGCCTCTGATAACTGGCTTTCTGATGCCTGCATCTCCTTAAAGCTGCTTTCTGTGCCCTGAACCTCAGAAACATGTTCTTTGACAGCTGGGATGGAGTCTGCTGAAGAAGCTGCAGCAAGTCTAGATAGCGGTTTAACAGATGCTCCTGTCATAGCAGCTCTTTTGTGAACCTGTCCATTAGGATCAGAGGTTTTAAAGATGGTAGAGACACCTGGAGTTCTGCTCATTACCTTAGCGGCAGTAATCCTGAAAGCTGTTTTTCTATTAATATCCTGTTTATCAACCTGCTGGGACCTTTGCAGTTTAGGGGTGCCGGACACAGCTGCCTGCTGCTGCAATCTACTTAAGACTTTAGATTTCACAGCACTAACATCAGACTTGGGAACCCTCTGTAATTCTGTTTTCTTAGCTTTGCATATTGAAGGAGTAACGCTTG